ACACACACACACACACACACACACACACACACACACACACACACACACACACAGACACACTACCACCACCATCACCACCACCACCACCACCACCACCACCAATATTTTTCTGGTGTTACCATGTATAGCTGCAAGTCATACAAGAATCTCTGAAGAGTTAGAGTAAAGGAACACTTAAGGGGCAAAGGAGAGGTACCCAGTGAATGGGCATGAGTGGGCTACAACACACTGAATAATAAGAAAATGCTCAGAAGTCATGTGAATGATGTCAGAGAAATGTTTGATGAAAAAAGGAGGGATTGGCATATTCAGTAAAAGCAAGGAGTAACTATGATATCAGGAAAACTTAAGGAAGGTCTCCTTACCCAACACAATGCATCGATCCCCTGTGGAGTATTATGGAGTATTTATGTGGAGTATCCATGGATAAAAAGCCCACGGATGGGAAGGCATTGGATGAGCTGTGATTGGTACCATTGGAAGCAATACCCCATTATAGAGATCACAGATTCACTGAGGTATGTATATATTTTAATACATTAAGGATTTATAATTTAATTGAAGGAAATACCCACATCAAATCCAGATTGCAACCCCCACTTTTTTGGACCATATTGGATGTTCTTAAAGACCTCTTGCAGTAGAAAAAAATTATAACCTAACCAGTTATGGGCCAACATCACTACACATCATTGTTTTGGCAAAGTGTAGCAAAAGTTCCCAATCCTGAAGACACTTTGAGGACAGTACCCTTTCTTTTCATTTTCCACCCCAGCAAACATAGTCCCAGTGGGGGAGAGTTGACCTATTCTTCAAAGAGTCCATCTATGTTCCTGGACTATAGCCAATGGATTTTCTACTGCCAACATCCTCCCCCTCACCCACTACTCTGAAGAGGAGCAAGAGGGCTATCACATAGTAAATGCTTAATAAGTATTTCTCTAATTGTAGTTAATATCTCTAGTTCTCCTTTAGTACCACATTTTCAAGTGTCTTGTAGCAAAGAAAAAATATGGTACCACTTTACCATCATATGTCTCTCACCAATTTTGGTCAGTAGCCCAGGACATCCATTGCCCCCTTCAATTCATTCATCTTCCCCTCACTTCCCTTTTAGGTTTAATGTGATAAATTTAGAAATTTACACATGCAAAAGGTTGAGAAGTACTGACCTTAGATAGGAATACTGGTATGCTTCAGCCTACATCTACACCTATGTGTCATTGTAGATACCTGGACCTACTTCTTAAAAGAACTTAGAACTAGAGCTGGGGATGAAAGCAGAAAGTTTGGTCCTGATATCTACTAGATGGCATTTAGCACAAGTGACTTGTGTTCTTTCTATTATCTTCTAAATACAATCCCATGGTCATCTATGAATCATCAGCTATTAATGAAAACAAGGTATAAATAACCAGAACATAATTATAGTTTAACTCAACACTACAAAATTAATAGCTATTCAACAACAATAAAATGGAAGATAAACTTACACTCCATCCTTGGACATGTACAAAGGGCAGTATAAAAGCTATTATTACGGATACCACTGTCAATGTCATCAGAGATCTGTGGACCTAAAAAAAAATACATCTAGCTTTAGAAGATTTAATTGACATTTCAGTTTCAACTAAAAGCAGGCAATTATGATGACTGGACATTGACAGTTTTATCTCTAGGGAAAAGAATACTGGGCAGCTAGGTGGCACAGTGGATAGAGCACCAGGCCTAGAGTCAGGAAGACCTGAGTTCAAATCTGACCTCAGCTACTGTGTGACTCTGGGCAAGTCACTTAAACCCTGTTTGTCTCAATTTCCTCATCTGTAAAATGAGCTGCAGATGGAAATGACAAACTACTCCAGTATCTTTGCCAATAAATTAGAATAGAATAGAATCTATAGAATCACATAGAATCACAAAGTCATTCGTGGCTGAACAAGAACAACAACAAAAAGAATCCTCCCATTTTTTAAACTGGAGAAACCTAGGTATCTAACAATAGTTGAAAGATACTCTCATAAAATTTTCCATCTTTTGATAATAATAACAATAACACAGATAAAGCAAACTTTTATCCGACATGAAGTTATCTGATTAATAAAACATTACATGAGTAAAGTTTTAAAATGCTACAATACAAATACATTCAATGCTAAAACATAATGTGCCTAAATTGGCACCTGATTCTTGTTGGTCCTCATTAAGGATGTTAATTTTCATTAGATAGTAAATTTGTAGAAGTGCTCATTAACAGATTTCCCATTAACAGAATACTTTGTAGATGTGTATATTTTATCTAACTAAACAGCATAGTGTTCAAACAGAAACCTGAATGTTCTCTATATTTTAAATTTCTCTCTTGTTCTTACTTTTCCTGAGAGCTATTCTTTTCATTGTAGCCTGCTACTATAGGGGGAAAACTCACTCTTAGCCTAAAAATAAGTCTTCTTTCTTACTTTAACCATTAGGTTAGGACAGGGATAGGGACCAGACCTGTGATTTCAGTCAATCAGCAATAATTTATATACTAGAATTACAAAGGAAGTTCAACAAGACAAAACAACACAAAATAAACAAAAAAACTTGGCTCTTGCCTTCAGGGAGCCCATATTCTTATTTCATTGGTATACGGAATTCCCAGGAGAGGAAACTCCCTCCACTAAGGAAGGCTAGCACTTTTTCTGCAAACTGTGGTCTTAGAGAGTAGCCTAGGGCACTATGACTTGTTCAGAGATATATCTAGGGGTTGGCTTATAGGCTCCCACTGGTGTGAGCATTCATACCTTGGAAACTGGCAAATGAAATAAATCAGGGCTTGCTTTATTATTTTGTTGATTGTCTAGACTTAAGAAAGTGATAGAGAAAATGTTAATAAAGCAGATTAAACTTAAAAGTGTGCTATGTATGCTTTTTTTTTTTTGAGAGCCATTTGTTAGACATTTGCTAGGAGATCCTTGACGCGTAGCCAGTTTGTGTGTCAGGAGGGACTTGAACCCAAACCTTCTTGGCTTCCGTTCTCTATCCACCATGCCATGTGGCCTCTCAATAGCTACCAGTTATTCAATTAACAATTTTTTTAGGCAATTGGGGTTAAGTAACTTGCCCAGGGTCACACAGCTAGTAAGTGT